GAAATGGCCGGCTTGCCCTGGGTGCCGAAGATCTCGATGTGCAAATGCGCCAGGCCGCTGGCGATGGACAGGACGATGCGCAGGCAGCTGACGGTGTCCAGCGTGGTGAGCTGCAGGTAGTCGTACAGAGAGCCCATCTCGTGGTAGTGGGTGATCAGCCACAGCTGGGTGCTAGAGTTTCTGGAAGTCATGTCAGATGCAATAAAACCTGGAGAGGAAGGAAAAAAATGAAAGGAAAAAGTAAGTGACAGAGCTCCTTCAAGACCCCCCTCAAGACCCCTCAAGACAAGAATCAGTAGTACTAGGCCCCTCCTACAATTAAAAACTGCTGAATTAAAGCTTTCCCACAGTTGTGCTGCACGGAACACAGACTGCAGGTAGCCGTGATGAAAATGGAGCCACATGTTCTGGACCTCCAACTCCAGGCTACCCACAAGGCCGTATTCACATGTTCTGCCAGTCACACCTGTTGGGGGCACGTGCTTTTAACAACTTTGTACTTTTGGGTTTTCTTTTCCCCTTCTTTCTGAAGGGCTTGGGGGTGGGGACGTTTCAGCCAAACGAGGACCGCCAGGCCGTAGCACACGTGCTGACACCCCCATGGTGGGGTGGCACTGGAGAAACCCAACGCCCCACCAAGCCCCATTCGTGCAGGCAGCAGGCAGGAGCGGGGGCTGCCGAGAAAAGGGTTGACATGTTCCCCACATGTCACACCGCAATAAACAGACACCGCGTGACAGCCTCACGTTTACACCCGGTGTGTACCAGGAGCACTTCAGCGACCAACCAGACACGTCCGAGCTCGCAGTGCCCACTGGACACATCACCCCCTTCCGACCAGGCAGAGAAGAGCCCATCTCAGCAGAGCGGTAACAGGCTGCCCAGTGACCTCCTGCTGCCGAGGGACTGCTGCAGCCTGGGGAACTCTCAGACCCACGAGACTGCTCCAAACCGCTGCAGGCTCCAAGTGCCGGGTCATCCCCACTGCACACCGGCTCACCACAGAGCCACGCGGTACGCGAAGCGGCGGATGCCGAGAGCAGCGTGGGAGCACCAGCGGATCAGCATACCAAAACCACAGACCAGCAATTCTACCCTAAGCACCAGACAGTTCAAGTGGTGTGCAAGTTACTGCCACAGCGAGGCAAGGCCGAGCACCCTCACGCAGCACGGCTGTGTTGCTCAGTGACTTTCTACAAAGGGACACGAACCATTTCTCTTGGAAACTCAAGAGCTGCTTTCAAAAATGCGGTGTGTGAAACCCAACCCCAAAATTCGGGGGTAGCTCCCTTCCCGTTACCTCCGAGTGTGTTGTGCACCAGCACACCGCCGACCACAACAGCTGGGAAGCAACTGAAGCTTCGTTCCCAAGTCAGAGGAACAAATCATGGTCATTAAAAGCCCACAAATGACATCTGTCAGAAAGAACACCCGCTACTGTCTCTCCTCCAGTCAGATTCCTGCACAAAGTGACACTTTTGTCACCTGTGACCTTGTTTCCTATCGCATCCGAAAACATTCTACAAAACAGCCAATGAATTTGACAGTTATCAAGAAACACTGAACACAGACAGAGGAACATGGGAAGGGGGTAATGCAATTGCAGCCAGGTTACTCGCTCTCTGGGGAAGGAAAGTTCAATAATTCGTATCTCAGGAGGCCACCAAATTCTTTTTGCCATAACAAAGGGAAACATCAGACAAACATCTAGCAGGGTGAGCTACAGAGCCAAGGGATATCGTCTGACAGGAAACAAAACCGAGGAGCCCGAGTCAAACTGATTGAAGACAGACTGTGGGTGAGGTGATGTCAGCACAGAAAACATGCTGCTGCTTTTAAGGGAGACAGAGCGGTGAAAGAATCGCAGAATGGTTTGGGTCGGAAGAAGGTCATGTCTGCCAAGAGTCAAGGGCTGCTAAACCTTCAGCCCTGGCTCACCCCCCAAAACTGCTTTCTACGCGCTCAGCACTGAGCACACAATGTACAAGGGATGCAGAGGATCCAAAACCATCATACTTGCATATTTATAGGGAAATTAGACACTTCATAAAGGGCCAAATTTAGCTGAAGCTTAAACACCAAAGGAGCTTAGTTTGACCCTGAGCAGAATGGCTGAACAGAAGCAAACAGTGAGTTCGTACTGCAGTTCAGTCAGGCACAAGGAAAGGGATTCCAGTGTTTAAGCCTCGTGATAAACCCTGTCCCACCTTTAGCTCTCCCAGGTAAACAGAAGTGAGAAAACCCCCCGATCCACCAGAACCCCCCACCTAACACCCTAACTCTTGCCAGGGGCTGCCCCGCAAGGCTGGATCTTCGCACGGGGGTCCGTGGCCCCTCCATTCTACACACTGTGCTGCCAGCAACCCACCTGGCTGACCGCTTCCTGCTCG